TTTGAAGAGTTATTCACCCAACTGTTACACTCACAGCCCCATGCTCATGCTACCCTCTTGCAAACATTTGGTGTACACTGGGTATGGAAAATAAAAAGGTCCTTACGCTAAGTGGCTTAAGCCTCATATATATGTGTGTAGGTATCAAACTTTGGTTTTTCGTACCATCTTCATTTCTAATCTGCATTTGCTCATCTAATGAAAGTCGCGGCATACTTTGTCTTTTCTTGTTTTTTGTTATTCGACCACATAAATTAATGTACTTTGGCTCATATTTAAAACGCTTTTCGGTAATTAATCAATTTGATTGATCATTCGGGGCCCGAAAGCTGTGTGTGCACAATATTTTATAGTCGCCCCCCAGAGAGAGAGAGCGCGAGATAGAGTGAGAGGGAGAGTGAGAGAGAGGCCGAGTGATGGGCAGCGTGAATAATGATGTATATTATTTATTTATAGATATTGTAAATACTCGCATTATTGTACACCTTTTAAACGAATTGAGATAAATTGCTTATGAATAAACGACGCTCAATTAGCATAATGCAAGTCCTGTAATCGATACTTAAAAGTCTTCAATTACAGCTGCTGTCAGACTTTTGCTGTCAGGCTGTGCAAAATTTGATAACTGCGATAACTTTGACAGACATCAAATTTAACAAGAACCTTTATAAAAGCACATAAAACTGTTGCCTACGTTTTGGCCCTAATAAACTGCACACAAATTGCGTCAAAAATTTGCAATTTAGTTACAAATTTCAGCTCGCAATCACATATACAACATGAAAGAGATGGGGAGCGCGGGGAAGAGAGTATAGCGGAGGGAGAGCAGAGAGATAAAGAGGGAGCGTGCATCGCCCACATTGGCAAGCTTCCATTACAGCAGCTTGTCAGTCTGTTAACAGAATCGTGGGCTACTTGCCTCCCGGCCACATCCGGTGGACAAGGCAAAGCTTTTAAGTCCCCGAACATGGCGCAACGGCTTCAAGTGCTTGCCAGCCGCGGTTACTTAACAGAGTGCAGGTGTGCACGAAAGCTTTTAGAAAGCTTTTAGCGCTCTGTTAAGGTGCAACCCGATTTACATTATTTAAACAGCACTCGCAGCTTTGTTTGCGCTCTCTTTAAAAGACTACAGTGCAGACAAGCTATGATGGACCTGTAGAAGGCAAATTAATGAGGTATATTCAACAAATTGCGAACTGTTAACTGCGTGGCAATAATACAAATAATTAAATTAATAATAAGGAATCAATATAACAAAACATATACATATTGCGGGAGCAGCTGATAGAATTGGGAAACTGATGAGGAAATAAAACTCGTGCATTCCATTAAATGCGTAGAATCTATCTATATATATTTATATTCAGAATATTGAAACAAATATTGAGACAAATATTATGTCATGATAAACCAGAGGTTCATTTGCAAATGCCTTGAAAGCAGTTTTGGCAAGGATTTAGATATAAAGGATGCCAAGGCCACAAAACAACAGTATTAAAGAGATAAACACATACAATCCTTCTTCATATCTAAGAGTCTATAGATTCTGGTAAGCTTTTCGAATATAGAATCCAATTCAAGGAACTAGTTTGCTTATCATTAATAATACACGAAAGGCTAAGTTGCAGTCAAGCAGAACCTACCACAAGTCAAAAGTTAACAACTTAAACTAAGAGCTCGCTGATGGCACAACTAACTAGATTTATCAGTTAAAAGCTTAAGTTGTCATTGATACAAAGAAGCTCAATGGCGGCTAAAAGAGTTTAACCAACTGCAGAGCCCGGCAACAAAATAAGCTAACAATTCGCGTGTGCCAGAGACAGTTTTTATGTCCCAAAGGTAGATGCAGCCATACAAACACCGGCCTCATTGTGAATACAAACTTGCTGGCTTATCAAAACACAACATCGAAATACGCACACACACAGACACACACACGCACACACATAGCTGCTGTGCACGTGCCGCAGAAGGGGAAAACGTGATGCTAATCGCATTTGCCAGCGACATTTTCACAGCTGCGCTGTTTTTTAGACATTTGCTAATCGTTATTGGATTTGTTATGTTTAATGTTTTTTGTAGCCTAATTGAAAACGTTTTTTTGGTCGCTTTTGGCTGTGAACTGTGCACATTGCGTATACGCCGCGTGCTCTTCGTTTAAATGCCTAATGCAAACGCAGCGTGCTTTATTATTATTATCGCAAAGACACACACACACACACAGAAGAGCGCCCACACACAGATACACAAATACGCAAGCTTGAGTGCTACGAGAAACGCTTGAGTTGCTTTAATTTTGGACCGCTGCTTAGGCACTGCTTGTGTCTTATGAGAGATTAACAAAGCATTTAATCTTAGCTTGGCATAAAATGACACAGCAAAGCACCCGCACACACACACACACACACACACAGAGAGGGACACACACACACAGAGAGAGGGACACACACACAACAGGGTTAGATTTAGGCTTCTGTGCTCGTGTTTTGCTTTATTTATTATGCCTGACTTCTATTTTTGTGGGGGGGAGGAGTGTGGTGAGGGGTTTTATTGACATTTACTTGCTTAACGTGCGCGTTGCGTTCTTCTATTTCATGTTGTTGTTGTTGTTGCTGTTTTTATTGTCGTGGGTTTTATTGTTGTTGTATATTGTGTTTGGCTGCTGCTCCTGTTGTTTCTGGTATTTCAGCAAAATTGCAATCAAGCGAATTTTTCTACACGTTGCATACTTTTGAGCGCTACTCAACACACGCAAGCCATACACACACAGACACACACACACACGCAAGCGTTACAAAAAACACATACAGAGAGAAAATTGCAGTTACTGCCGCGACGGAAGCTGCTCGTGAATTTTAAAACAACAAAAATTTTTTATACACAATTTTTCACAGTTGTTTGCTTTTGCGAGCGCTGCTCAAATTTTTCAACACAGTGGCAGTGGTTTAATTATTGTTAAATTTTGTTGATTATATTTGGTAATTGTTTAATTGCAAAATGGCAAACACACGCACGCACGCACACACACACTCACACACATGCGAAATTGTGAGTTGATTATAAAACGACAGAGCAAAAGTTAGCGCAACACTAGCAAAATAGCAGCAGCAATGACAGCCAGCGGCAAGCGGAGCGAAGCGTAGCAAACGCAACTGAAGCTTTCGCAGCTGGAAGTCTTAACAGTCGCAGCAGCAGAGCTGCTTGGAAGTGATGCGAAAGCTGCGACGCAGAGAGCGAGAGCGCCCGCGAGAGCGAAAGCGCACACAAGAGAGCGACCAAAGAGCGCTAACTGCTTAAAGCGCATGCGCCGCGTTAAGAATGCTGGAAAAGCCGTTAGTTTGGGAATAGTTGGCAGTGGGGGCGGGCTGTACGCTTGGATTATGTGTCAGTGTAACAATGGAAGTTTATTGCAATTAACAGCGCATAGCTTCTGTCTCTGTGTTCGTGAGCCTGGGCTGCTGCTGCTGTTGCTGCTGCTGCTGCTGCTGATGCCCAATGATGCGTGAGTGCAGTGCAAGTGGACGCGGCGACATCTTTTCTGCTGCGACTCATTAGTGTCAAGGCAAGGAGATCAAAATTGGCTTTAAGCGTGCCACAAGTATGCACATTACATGCCTCACATGCATTATGCATGCCACGCCCACACTCACACACAGTTAGCATTCGCCGGCTTGACAAGCCGGGTCGTGCCCAGAGTCCAAGGCGAAAAAGCAGACAAAAGCGTTGAGCGGCTGCACAACAATTTTATATGCAGGCAGAAAGCACATGCACATTATCAACACTGTCATCATTAGCATAATCATCATCATCATCATGATTATAAACATCATCAACAGCAGGCAGGCAGCAACGTTGACGTTGACAAGGCTGCTAGCTGAGGGAGTTGCAAAAGAGAAAGTTTTTCCTCTTTTGTTTTTCGGGGGACTGCTTGCAACTGTGTTTGCTTAGGAGTGTGTGCCTGCAACTGTGTGTGTGTGTGTGTGTGTGTGAGTGTACCATGCCTGGCAGTTTGTTTTTAATCAAGGCAAAACTGGGTCAGTTTGGGCTGCAACTATAAATATCATTTATGTTGCCCAGCCAAATGTGCCAGTTGACTTTCCCTCCTCCTCATTTTATTTTATTTATTTTTTTAGCGAATGCATTGTGTGCACAAATGCAAATACACATACATATATAGAATGTGCATGCATATGTATATACACACACACACACACACACGCACACTTGTACACAGTTACAGTTGGATGCTGTGTTAATTGCTATACAAATTTACGATACTCGCTACTGTTAACTAGGAACACGACTGCTAACTAACATGCCGCTGTTAAGCGCTAACAGCGGCAGTAAAGGTTCTGTAACAGTTGACCCAGTTGCCTGGCCCCGGTGCCTATAAATAGAGCAGAGCATACAGTTGCCTTCTCGAGTGCTGTCAGGCAGGGAGGGTAGGGGCAGCGAGGGGAAAGAATTGGCAGACTCCACTTTACAGAAGCTGCATGTGGGTTGGGTCTTATGATGGATTTTGTGCCATTACGAGGCAGGCAATTGCTACTGCGCCAGAAACGAAGCGCTCTGTCACAATGGTTTATGCGAATTAAATTGGTATTTATAAAAAAGCTTACGACTTTTGAGTACATTGAAAACTTGATGGAAGAGTTTTATGACAAGGCTTGGAGCGATGGAAGGCAATCAACAGGCCGATGAACTGCGTTCGATTTGTGATTTGGGTAGCAGTAAAAAGTTCTTTAAGGACTGCGGTAAATGTAATGAGAAGATTAGCAAGGATTGCTTATACTAGGAATAAAAGTTGTAATAAGAAGATTAGAAAGGATTATTTATACTAGGAATAAAATTTTAGCTACGATTCGCCGAATATCTTGATTTCTTAAACTTGAAGGCAAACAAAATGGATTCTATGAATTGTTTTAAGAAAATAAATAAACTTGTGTTTAAAGTGCACTTTGATAATCTCAGTCTATTTGTTCTTAATATCTAACACTCACCTCGGACGATGTGAGATAACACATGCGCGAATCGGTGCTCTCAATGGAGGCCTGCTGTACAATTCCATAGCGTGATTCACGATCACTCAAATACTCAGAGCGCAAACTATCCTGACGTATAAACTCCGCGCTGTAAGACGAAAATATTGCATAAGTAATATAGAATAGAATTTAGAACAAAATAGATTATTACCGCTGCTCCAAGGAATCGGCACGTGCACTCTTATAGCCGGAATCATTGAGGCTGCTATCCTGGCGCAGCGATGGCAGCGAATCCCAGGGCGAACGCTTGTGCCCCGAGCCGACCATTTGTTGTGCCATCATGCCATGCCCTGAACCAGAGCCAATTGTTGAGCTGCCCGAGCGCCAGCCATCCGAATGACGGAACCATTGAGCGCGCGCCGATTCGCCAATACAGCTGGCACAACGCGAGTTCGAGAAACTGTGAAAGTAGAATAGAACGAAATGAAATTAGATTTGCAAAAGAAATTGAAGATGTATTATTTACCTGGCATTATGATCGGATAGATAGCCGCGATCTCTTTCGCGTTCACGTTCGCGTATTAGCTCATTGCGATCGCTGTAGTAGCCATCCCGGTCACGATCGCGTTCCTTATCGCGTATGGTGGATAGGGGGCGATGTGGGGGCAGCGGCAAGGTTGACGACTTGGCATTGGCTGCATCGAAAAACAAGAATAAAATTAAATTAATTTCATTTGTTTATTATTGGATTTCAAAGCTAATTTAAAGAACATGACACAGGCAGGCAAATGCATTTCAGATCTCTATAATTGGCGCAAGGATATTCAGGATTACATTGAGGATAGTTTAAGACACTGAATTAGTTAAGAGACGTGCAATCAATAGAACTACTTACGCCTACGTAGTGGATATGGGCTGCGCTGTGTTGATCCTGGTAGGCTTTCAGCGAATTCTGATGATAATTGTTGTTGTTGTTGTTGTGGAAATTGTTGTTGTTGTTATATTTGATAGTGATGTTGATATTGTTGTTGTTATTATTGTTGATGTTTATTGTTTTTATATTGATGGTACGTGGTGTGACAGTTGTGGTAGTTATTGTGTGCGAGGCGCATGATGAGCATTTTGTGATATGTATGGATAGCATTTAAGTTTTAATTATTTTAATTGTTATTAAGAGAGAGATAGATATAGTTTTTATGATTGCAAAATTAATAAATCACATTAAGAATTATGAAATAAAGTTTATGAAAATTCTGCATGACATTTATAGGCAATCTAAGTGTTTGCTTTTATCATTTAAGCATTAGTTTGATAATTGATTTTGAGGCAATAAGCTACGACTGAGGCTTTCAAGTATTTCCCTTACCGAATTAAAAGTTGACTCTATCTAAAGGTATTAGATAGTCAATATTGCTGGCATTACCTTCTAAACTCTTTTCATTCTGCCTTAAACAATTGTAGCCGCTTTACGCTACATGGATGAATTTTTCTTATTAAAATTTCTCTCGAAAGCTTTCCAGATGCTTTAAGTATTTGCTTAAAAATACATTCGAATTCCCACAGAAATTCCATTACCAGCTTATCTGATTTTTTGCGAAATACCCCAACGAAAGACTCACATTAATCAGATTATCAGCAACTAGCTAAAGGTACATAACCAAGCCCCATTAGCAGACGCAGGTGTTACATGAAATGCGAGCGTTGTTTGACTTGATTCGAGACATTGACGAGGGCACAAACCGCACTAGAGCTCAAGCTAATTAAAAATTCGATTAGAGAGGGGGCGCAATAAAATAATAGATAGTAGGAGGGTGTGGATAATAAGAAGAAGACGAAATGTTCAGCTACAACAACAACGAGAACGAAAAGTTTAGAAAAGTAAATTAGCTACAAGTTTTAGCAAAACCGAATGTGAACCAAAAGCGAAACCCAAACGAAACCTAAACTAAAACGTAATCGTTCGGCAGCCGACGGTGCGAGCAACTCACCCAGATTCTCCATGCTTTGGGAGAGCAGTGCCTCAAAGGTGTGCAGGCTGTAGGACTCGGCGTCCATGCCCTTGGCCAGCGTATTACGCAAATGCATCTCGTACTCCATGAGCAGACGCGAGGTGGGACTGCCCGGCGTGGGCGTCACATTCGGTGCCTGCTGATGCTGATGATGCTGATGGCGCGATGCACGCTGCTGTGGATGCGGCGGATGCGGCGGATGCGGCTGCTGTTGTTGCTGCTGCTGCTGGCCATACGATTGATCCTGATCGGAGTTGCCATTGCTAGAGCTGGGCGTGGTCGCATAGCATTGATTATCGAACATCACATTATCTGATGGCGGCGAGCCCTCAATGCAGCTACGCTCACGCTCCCGCTCCAATTCCAAATATAGATTGCGCGGCGGATAACCGCGACCAATTTCATGCGAAGATCTGTCAAAACCAAGTAAAAATTGTTTACCAACCAGGTTGACAGCAAAATGCGCAAGTAACAGAACTCACCTCGAGCCGGAGAAGCGCGACGACTGACTGCCACTGCCGCTGCCGCGACCCAATGTATTGTTGTTCATGACGTGATGGCCGCCGCCGCCGCCGCCGCCCCCGCCCATGCCCATGCCCATGCCCATGCCGTGCTGATGCATGTGCTGTGGGCCCAATGTCTGGGCCCCATTCGCATTGTAGTAGTTGTAACGCCGTCGGCCCATCTCCGGCGACGTGACGGGGCTCTCGGTGCTGGGCATCGGCTTTAGCATGCGCTTTAGTGTGCTCGTATCGACGTTCATGTCCTCGGTGCTCTTGGTCTTGCGTCGTGTGTTGTTGTTGATTACGTTGTGCTGGTGGTGCATATCGTGCGAGTGTGCGTCGCGTGTCTGTGTGGCAGAAGCACAAAGAGTTGTTGGTTAGAACAGACAATCCAGCCAGGTGCGCCATGTGAGACAGGCATTTGTGCCGGCTAGTTAGCGTGCCTGGATGCACTCAGCTTACCATATCATCGCTGAAATCCTTGGTGCGTGTGCCTGTTGATTTGGTAGAGGTGCCCACACTCTGATGCAGTCCGCCCCCAACCTGTGTGCCCTCGCTCTTGGGCAGATCCATGTCCATATGGCAGGCGCCGGCATCGTCTGAGCCCACCTGTGAGCCCACATGATTCTGTGAGCACATGTCCGAGCCGCTGCCCACGCCAGTCACAATCACGCCCGGCGTATTGGTATTAACACCCGCATTGGCCACCATATTGCCATCTTGCCCCTTGAGCTGACGTTGTAAGGTATCTGCGAATTAGAGGGAGTGCCAGAGAGAGATTAGAAACAATTATAGTGGATCGTATGTCAAATCAGAGCATGCAACAGATGTTGCACAGTGGCAAGCAGGCTGTTGAACGTTTCTTTTTGCAGCGTTTCCCAGTGCAGTCCAGATACATTACCGGCTTAAAGAGGTAATATGAGAATTACTTCTAGTTCTAAAGTTCAACATTTAAGGAAGCCAAATCCCGTTCATAAGCGGAACAGAATGCATGAAAGTCAATAGTTTTTTCCAATAATCGATAAATAACCGTTAAATAATTTTAAACTTTAAACTTCGTATTAATCCATACGAGCTTTTGACCTGCTCTAGGGTCAGAGCCTAGAGTTGGAAATTATAGATCATTGGCCAGATCAGATTTAACACTTGATCGTATGCTCTATTTATATATTGTTTATATTACAAACTGCAAACACTGGAACTTACCGCCTCCTTGGGCCACGCCCGGCCCACCGCTGGCCACGTTATCATATAGCGAGGTGCTGCTCACGGCGCTTACAACCTTGCCCTGCTGCTGGCCATCGACATCGGTGATTCTGTGGGAGCCGACATTACGCGGCAAAGTGGATGAACCTGCAATGAGTATGGCGATGAGATTTGATGGGGGATGCGGTGGTCTTGGCGCCTAATTGCTAAGTTGCGTTTAACTGTATATTGAGGGTATACGAGTGGGGGTACATTGTATTACATGAAAAGGCTATGCTAAGCGTAAATCAAACGGTAAGCCAGAAGATCTATAAAGGCTTCTTATGCCCCCTTCAAAAAAAAAGAAGAATGTCAGAGGCTATCGCGTAAGGTTAAAGAAAAAACTGGAAACGTAAAGCAAAAGAGGAACAAAAAAAAAGTGGATAGTACGAGTCGAAACGCTCGCAAACTGATTGACTTAACCGATTTGCTTATAGTTTGATTTGGCTGAGTTTGGTTTTTTTTTTTTGGTTTTATTTTTGGATTGGTTTGTTCTCTCACCTCTAACACGTGGATCGGTTCTCAGGCGCGCATACTGCTCGGCGGACATGCAGGTGCATTGGGGCTCTTGGCGTACGCGCGACGGCGACGCGGGAGTGCTGAGCGGCTTTCGCTTGGCCTTGACCTTGCCCTTGCCCGGCGGATCCAGTTTTAGGGAGTAGCTCGACGAGGCCTTTCGTGAAAATTTGAAAGAAGGCGACTGTAAAACGTCGCACTATCATTAGGTTAGTTGATTGGGATTACAAGGTTCTGTGTGTGCGGTTTCTGCTTTCACTGCTTTCGAAATTCTTCTCTCATTAACTGTCTATATATCTCGATATAGATCTATATAGATCTGCATCTATGTAACTGGCGCAAGCCGTGTGACTTGGCGAAGTTTGTAGCTGTTGCTTAGTGTGCGATTTAAAGGACTTAGACAACTATTAGAAGAGTGCATAGAATTTACATAGAATAGTATTACTAGACATGTGCTCAAGCCTTGAGTCAGATTATACATATATATATATATATATTAGTTTAAATATAGAAATAGATAGTTAGTAAAGTGAAGTAGACAAACGTACACATACAAGCATTAGTTAGTTAGTAGTTAGAGTTTAGTTAAGTTTATGAAGCCTTAAGAGTGCATTCGATTAAGCAGGGTGTGCTTTAAAGAGCTAATCTCTGCGCTAGGCGCATTTAATTATAATTTTATTTGATTCTGGAAGCAACATTTAAACTGTTAACTCTGCTTATCCTAGCAATAACACTTAGTTTTAATTATATTTCATCTTTAGCTTAATTTTGATTCATTTGCTGCGGAAACAATTATTGTGAGCCTGTGCGTGTTGCTTCGATTTGGGTGTTGGTTTTGAAAACCTTAAAACTATTTTCCAAGAATATATAATATATATTTGGCTTTGGCCTCTTCTGACGCCTAACCGGTTAACTTTGTGTGTCGCCTCTCTTGGCGATTCTCAAACGTAGCACTTGGCTACACTCTTCTAACTCCTAGCGCTGCTAGCATTTGATTCGAGTCTAAATTTTGCATTGTTTTTGAAAGTTGTTTCGATATTTGATTTTCATTTGCGTATTTAAACCGCCCACTTGGCTTGGGATTAGGTTCGGGCTGGATTGTACTTGGGAACTTAGGGCTCATCGGAAAGGGTTTGCAGTGGATAGGTAACGGTATTGTAGTAGAGGATACGTGCGATTGTTTTAAAGCGTTTTGCGTTTTTCTTTTGCATTTTCATTGTACGTTTGGCAATTCGAACAATTATTATACAATTATCATATAATTTATGAAATTTTCATACGTTCATTACGTTTTTCGTTCATTCGATTTTGCAAATGGAAATTGTCAATTGATTTGATTTCGTTAGTTATTTATTCATTTTTTTTTTTTTTTGTGTCGCACGTGTCAAATGCAAACGAATAGAGTTGAAAATATATATTTATACATACATAAATATATAGTTAAGAGTTGTTAAATAAAATTCATGTTAGATAATAAAAGCATTTCGGGTGGGACAGAGTTTTATAGATAGATAGATTGGTAAGGTGTACATTTAGAAATGTATTCAAAATTGTTATTTTGTTATTTGTTGTTGTTGTTGTAGTTGTTGTTGTTATCGTTTTTGTTGCGTGTAAAGTTTTTTTTTTTTGGTCATTTTTGTAAAAGTAATTTCGAAAAAGTTGTTCGTAATATTTCAAATTTAAGTACGACATTTATTGTTTTTTTTTTCATAAGTATCAAAATGAAATGCATCAAAAATGAAATATTTGAAAAAGAATTTAGTTTTTTATTTGATTTAGTATACATATATTTATTTTTTGGCGTGTTTCGAGAATGAATTCGAAAATGATTAGAAGAGAGAAAAAGAAATGAAAGAATATATAATATAAATACATTTAACAAATTTTAGTGGGTGTGCGTTTAACTGTATGTGTGAGTGACGTCAGTCTGTGTGTGTGTGAGCGTAAACAATGTGTGGGTGTGTGTGTATGTAGTTATTGGAACCTTTAAAACTTTTAATACACACACACACACAACAAGAGTTGAAGAACTTTGTACATTTACAAATGAATGCAACTCGCGTCTTTAGACTGAAATAATTAGCTAGTATTTATTTGGTATATATCTGGTATATTTCTGGTATGTTTCTGGTATATATAACTGTTATGGTATGCGTGTGTTTTTGGCTGTACTGAAAACGAGTTTAATGTGATAATCGGGTTGAAAAACTTGACTGATAGAGGAGGTGGGGGAACAGACACACATAAAAATTGAATAACTTACAAACGGTTACGACACTTAAGGACACTGTTATGTGTGTGTGCGCGGGTGTGTGTGCATGTGCGTATGTGAGTGGAAGTTCATATGTATGCAAGTATGTATGGTAGATCTTACACATGCCCGACAAAGGGAAGCGCTACTTGAATGGGTTTTTGTTTTTTTTTTTAAATACATTAGGAGTCTGTATATAAATACGATTTATCTTAAAGAAGTACTTTTCTCTGCAGTTATATTAATAAAATTAATTAGTTATTTACTAGTAGAGTCTTAGTAGCAGCAGTTTGTAAAGTTAGTTGTACTGTGTTTTGTGAAAAATAAATAATATGAAGCGATACTAACGTATTTTTTTACTATGTAAGATACCTGCAACAAATGAGGCGCAAAGTAAGAAAAGAAACGAAACAATTATTAGACACTAATCCAGACAGTATACTCTGACTATGTGAGTGGCATAGGTGGGGGGAAGGGCTTTGTCAAGTGTGTGTGTGTGTGTGTGTGTGTGCTTGCATGGGCGTGTTTATGGATCGTAAATACAAGTCTCTGATCAGAAATTGAATTCAGTTTTATTTACCTCTCACTCTTCTTGGATTTTACCTTTTCTATTACTTGAAAAATACCTTTAGTTTTATTTTAATTTTTGGAAAGCCTAATGAAATATATAGATATATATATACATCGTATCTGATTGTTGATATCCAAACCGAAGTTAGTTTTACTCTTAATGTTGCACTCATTTTCTTTTCGTTCTTTCAATTTCTGATCATTTGTTTGCTTGTGTGTATATTGGTTTATATTGTTAATCAACGAGTTAAGGCGGGTTTCTTATAGCTTATAAATAATATAGCACTATAATATATGTATTACTTTATTCTTTTTCCAAATTATTATTAAAAAAAGAAAAAGAAAGATTCGATAACACAATCTCAATACAGAACTTAAATATAAATTTCAAGTACGATGCCAAATTTTGCAAATTGTTTGGTTATTCAAAATATGTCATATGTAAGTCAACTAAGAACGAGAATATATATATATATATATATATATATATATATATATATATATATGAATATATATAGAATATTATATAGTATATTAACATGGAGCAGTACTTGATAAAGCAGTTGAGAGAGCGGTGTCTGTCTGTTGTGTTTGTCTGTGTGTTGGGTGACAGTGACTGTGATTGTGACTGTGACAGTGACTGCGACTGTGATTTTGACTGTGACAAATGGCATGGCATGAATTGAGCCTATTTGCGTACACATTTCGAAGCTGTTAAATGTTTTCCAACAAAATTTAAACTTGATTTAAGATGATTGATTTGTTGGAAATACTTTATCTAGATAGTTATAGAGCTCAATAGATAAAACAAAAAGAAAATGTTAACGAGCTTGAGCCGCATCATCATCATCAAACATTCATCACGGTCGGTCATCATCACAGCATCATCAACTTGTGGTTTGCATTTGTGGCAGATGTTGTGGCTTTGTTGCGGGCAGTTGCTTGCCACACTTTGTTGCATGCCGTATAGAACTGCCCAAATGTTATTGTTATTGTTAGTAGGAAGTGTGTATGTGTGTGTATGTGTGTGTGTGTGTGTGGGGTGCACATGTTATTTCAGTGTTTGTATTTGTGGTTGGCTGAGGTGGTTCTTTGGTTAAGGTATCAGTTGAGGTGGTTGCTTGTCGTCGTCGCGCTTGCAATATGCAACAAACTGTAAGAGAATACTTACACAGCATTCCCGAAACTGTTTGGCATCGATGGGCGATGTGAAATTGAGGCCCCAAGTATCGTTTGTCATTGGATCCTTCCAGTAAACAAAGCATTCCGATGCCTGGCCAATGCGTGTGCCTGCAAATACCGCACACAAACACACACACGAACACATATTAAAACCATATTCAATTTGCAAAAGTAAACAAGGAGAAAAGCTTTGGGCGGGGCTTGCAACTCACCTGGCTGCACAAGTCGCACATCGAGTATCTTATCCACCTGACTATTGTACGCGGTGATGTGAAAGATGCACTCGGGCGAGTCCTGAATGCATGTGATGTTGACAGGAACCAAATCTTCGGACACTTGTTGCCACTTGACGGTGCCGGCGCCGCTAGCCGATACGTGAAAGACCTCAGCCCACAACCTGAACGAACTAGCGTTTGTTAATAAAACCATTGTTGACAAATTGATTATTGCAAAAGTTGTTGTTGTTGGTTGTTGGTTGTTTAATTGTTGGTTGTTGGTTGTTGTTGTTGTTGGGTTGGTTCATCCAATTGAAATTTGGTGCGAATTTGTTGTTGAGGAAAATTCATTTTTGTTGGAGGGTTTTTCAATTGAACGTAAAGTCAAACAAAGGAAGCGCAGTTTGGCAGTTGTTGTTGTTTGTTGTTGTTGCAGTCGTTTAGGAAGGAAAAGTTGTTGCAGATTTGTTGTTGTTGTTGTTGTTGTAGCGCCCAACGAATTTGATTAGGCAGTGTGTGGTTGTGTGTGTTGGTTGTTGTTGGATTATTGGATGTGAAGGCAAAAGTCGAAAGTTTTTCGTTTTGTTTTCATATTTAGTTTTTGAAAGAAAGAAAAACCAGAAAAGAACACAATTAGTTAAATTACAAAAGTTCTCAAAATAGCGAATTCAATTGGTTTTTGTTGTTGTTGTTATTGTTCCATATTCACAGCCAGTCAGAGAACAAAAGAGTCAACTACAAGAGCACAAAGATTGCTGCTGCCAATGCTTAGACAGCCAAACTCACCTCAATAGATGTCCATCCCGACGACGCGAACTCTGCCAGGGTGAATCCTCGTAGCGATAAGCCTTGCGCATTAGAGGCGCACACGAACAGCTCAATTTGTTGCCCATGGCGCAGTTGGCACAGCTCACCGCAGCTCCTGCTACGGTGTGGATAAGTAACCGGTCAATGTTTATCGAACTCGATCGATATACAAACACTCACCTTTACCAGAGGCACCCCGATGTCACCACATGCCGGTCACGTCCGCCTGCGAGAGCGCCTGGCCGCGATTCAGCGACTGCGACCGTTGATTATGCCGATGGCCGTGGTAGCGACTACCGCGCTGCTGGAGGGGCGGGACACGAGAGAGAGGAGAAAGCAAAAATAACAAGAATTATTAGTCAAATCAATTGGGTAATGCATGTGGCTAGCTCAGGAATTAATTAATAGGTAACCCCCTTTACAATCATTTAATTTTAAGATTTAATATTTAATTGTAATTCCTATGACAATATTTTGTTATAATACAAGTACTAAAATACCTTTTCTCAATCTAATTATACATAGTCTTTATCTAAAATGCATTATATAAGTTGATTAACAATAATTCATTATAAATAAATAAGTAAAGATTTATGTAGTCTTGTAGTCTTATGTGTGAACTGCAATTTTAAGAAAGTTTCTCTCAAGAAAGCTTCTCTCTTTGAGAAAATAATTGATTTTTATCCCTTTATAGAAAATGACTCCTATGCATTTTATAAGATTGAAAGAGATTGAAATAAATATTCTGTTGCTGGCAAGGTGGAAAGTTACCCAGAACCAGCATTATCCGGGCCAATTTTTTTCCTGCATACATATATCATTTTAAATATTTCAATTATTTTGTATTTGTCCTAAATCATGATTTTGGAATGGAGCGTATGAGAAGAAAATCTAGAAAACAACTATTAATATAATATATAATGTAAAGCTCTGAGAATGAGTTTAAGGACCATTGCAGCACAATTAAACATTCGCTCATGCAAACTTTGACTGCCATTGACTTTTCATTTACCCAAATCATAATTATATTAATATTTAACATATAATTTATCATGGAAATGCTGCACAAATTACTTGGCTTGTATAACTTCTTTAGCTAAACTTTGGTACAGGCCTTGATTTAGCTTTGCAACAGCCAGCCGAAGCGTAAGACCGTTAATCGATATATCAAACTTACTCAGCTGTTTATCAATCAAGCATACACAAGATATATCTATATACATATATGCTCAAACAAAAAAGACAAATGCAGTCAAATACCAGAAATGCCAAGATCTGCCTCATAAATCATTCAATTTGAACTTGAAGCATGTATTAAGCAACGATTGTGCCACACACGTATTTAATTTTCCAGATCTGTGATTAACCCATGAAACAACCCACGCCGGCTGCAGCCAGGGCTATTATCACCAACACGTTGCCGTTGTCGAGAGGTGCGAACGAAGCGAGTTCAAAGCTATTGCTGGCCAAAATGCAGTCGCCCCTGCCGCGCCCCAGCTCCCCGCACGCTCCCCGCGCGCTGCCCCATGCTGCAACGACGCTGGCGTGTAGGTGTCAACAACACAAATATTCAACAAAAAATAGGCAAAAAAAAAAAACTTGGAGATTTGTAGCGGAAAAAAGTGCTTTGAAGTTTGCTTTGATTTAGTTGTTTATGATTCGATCTGATCGATCGGTGAGTTTTATGTTCTTTGACACACACAGCAACACACACACACTCGCGCACATGTTGCATATGAGGCTGAGGCTGCGGCTGCTGCCCCCTTATTTATATGAATTTAATTTTAAATTCTTTTGGTACACCTTAAATATAAACGTGTACATATATTTATATAAATATATCATATTTTTCTTCTTCATTTTGTTTTTGGGCTATCTGCAGCCTGTTGCTGGCCACATATGTTGAGCACATTTGTTGTTTGTTTGGCTAGCCAAGCTATAGCAAATGTACACTTTATCTATTTTTGCTTATGAGCCTTTACCGCTGAGACAAACAGACACCTGTTTACGAGCCGACTGGGGTCATAGAATTTCTTTAATTATTGTTTATATAAATATTTGTAGAGTGCCAAAAGAGCATTTGAAATACACGCCACAGAGTCAAGCAAACAACTAAATACTCCAAACGGAAATTGAGGGAAAAATCAAAGCGCATTTTTCATTCATTCATTCAGTCGCTACGTAACGCTCTCCCACTCTCCCTCACTATTGGTCTCTCTCTCTATGTTTCTCAGCAACTCGAGCAGCTCTCCACATTAGCCGTAAATCTTATGCAGCAGCCTCATTGTCTCGGCGCGATCTCAAGAGCTGACGCTCGCCCACACAGCGTTTGTTGAGCTCAAGAGCCGCAAGAGATCTGGCGATAGGCAGATAAAATGCTGCTGCCCGCATACTTTGGGCTCATCGAGTGGATGCCACACTTTGTGGCGCTCTGCACGTGTTTGCTTTTTGTTTTTGATTTTGTTGAAATTTATTTTTAAAATCAATCAAATAGCGCTCAGTCGCTCTCAATTGTCGTCGCAGTGCTCATCAAAATGCAATAAGGAATGAAGGTGGCGACAGCTCTGCCGATTTTTGGGTCACACTCGCCACAGACGTTGCCCCCCGCTCTCCCCCCTCCCCTCTTTCCATCCACCATCATTCACCCATTGACAAATTGAGTTGTGGACCAGTGCGATTGACAGCCAGATACGAGTAAAAGATGACTCAAGTTTGATAAAACACACAGCTTGAAGGGTTAAATGTGTGTGCACGTGTGTGTGTGTGTGTGTGTGTGTGCATCTGTGTGTTTGTGTGTGTGCGAGTGCAATAAATGAGATAAAACAAGCTATAATTATATAAAATCGAAAGAGCTTAAGGATATCATCTTTTATGACATTTTATCAAGTAACGTTTACTGATATTCGATTAGTTTTTGTGCAGGAAAGATGAAAATAAATTTAAAAGTTGGATTCGTTTTTCACTTTAAAAGGATTCTGGCCAAGGCCAATTCGAGCCTTTTATTGTTATAGATGTAGAAGTGGTATATTGAATATTAGTTTTATCCATCTTTTTCAGAAAAATCTTTTTCTTAGGCAATAATCATTAAACGTTCATTCAGTATTCCTTCAATATTTTTTCAATATGCATTCAAAAATCCAATTTATTTCTGCTCTGCATAATTTGTTTACTATTCAAATAATAAGTGCCTATTTAAACGTTCTATTGAATTTTGTCTTATTTCCTTACGAATTTCTCTGTTATAAGCAATGATATATTTTTAATAAAATTGATAAATACATTTTTATAGATAGTCTCAATTTGCCAATTCAAAATTAACCTTTAAACATCACTTCTAAATGTATTAATTTAATGTTTAGCAATTGTCTCGGCGCAATCTCAAGAGCTTTCGATAACCATTTATGAAGTTATATATAGGCTATTTGGCAACGCTTCCCAGTTCAAAGTTAACTTTTAAATATCAGTATTAAATATGACACCGTAATTAAACCAAATTCTGTTGAAGTAAACTATATGATAAACTTTGTGAAATAGTTTATATAGTTTACATTTTATATAGTTATTAAAGAGTTGTGCTCAAAACTCTGAGGAAGGAAATGGCCTGCAAAGCTTGTAATCAAAAGCACAATAAAACCACAATAAAACAGTTATATATCTTATCGTGGGTAACTTATGGGTAGTTAAATGTTAATGTTGTTGTTATTATACTATTATATTGTTTGTATACACACCTCCACGTGACCCCAGCCATCGGCGTTCATTTTGACGGCCGCCTCGACACTTTCCTTGGCACCCATTGCGTGTTTTTTAGTTGTTTATTATTTTGTTGGTTTGTTGTGTTTGATTGTAGTTCCAGTTGCAGTTACAGTTACAGTTACAGTTACAGACACAGCTATAGTTACAGTCACAGTTACAGACACAGTTACAGCTGTAGTTTGTTTATCTTGCGCTTATTGCCTAGGCCTGTGCGAGCTCGCCTGGCGAGGCGAGGCGTGGGTGGAGCTGGCGTGGGAGGAGCAGCAGCAGCAGCAGCAGCTGTCAGATGTTATTTATTTTGGTGCTGCTTGCGACTGGACCAGGCACCAGATGAACCAGAGCCACAAACTGAAGACCAGGACCTAGTGGCGTCTGCGTTCGAGTTGCGAGCAGTTTGAGCGTAGATTGGTCTCGTGCAATATAAATATTGAGCGGATTGACGTTGACGTTGACGTAGACGTCGGCAGCTGCTGTCACGCTCACAAACTCTCTCACTCGCTCTCTCGCTGCGTTGCGCTCTCTTGCGTACCGTGGGCGATGGATGCTGTTGTTGAAAGCGGCTTTCAATCAGCTTTCGTCAAGTTGAAAACGTCTGTGGTAAGCAGTTAAATAATAGAACAGGCAGAGTGCCTCCTGTGCCGAGTCCTTTTATCCTTTTATATCCTATATACGTGCTATATGATTGTTGTATTTATTATTAATGCAGCCTGGAATGTTGCTGCCTTTCACAATGTCATTTGAAAATTTCACTTTTGGTGCTGTTGCATTTGTTTTTTTTTTTTTGTTTTTTTACTTTTGCTTTTTGCGGTGTTTAACTGTGCGTATGATTAATGTATGCTTGCTGTTCTCATCTTATTTTCCGTAACAATAATAATACTGTGTTCTGTTTTAGGTTTATTAATTATGTTTTTTTTTTTTTTTTTGTTGCCACAATGCGTGCTGCTGCTTTTGATTTGGCAACGCCTTTTGCCTGTTTGCAAAATAACACACAAAAAAATGTTCTTTTATTTTTGGTTTTTGCAATTCCTTGTGCTCGCTTTTCAACTTTGTGTGCAATTTTGTATTTTATTTATTTATCTAAATTGTTCTGGAAATGTATTATTAGATTAGATTTTTGTTCACTTTTGCCAGGCAGGAGCAGCAGCAGCAGCAGATGACGAGGACATGTCGTCGCTCTGTAGATTTGTGTGTGGCAGCCTCCTGGCCAGCCAAAATACCTACAAAACTGGACGAAACGAAATGTTTTCACTTGACGAAGCACGCACGCACACACACATACAGCAGGCGGAGAGAGCGAAGCAGAGGCAGCAACCACACAGCAGCCGCCGCCGCAGCAGCAGCAGCAGCAGCAGAGAGCAAAGCAGCGCAGATGAGCTTCGAATTACAGCGACAGCCGAAAATTGCTTGCGCTGTTGCTGTTGTTGTTGTTATTGTTGCTGCTGCTGCTGCTGCTGTTGTTGTTGTACAACATATATTTTAATTTCGATTTCTTTCTTGCTTTTTCGTTGCTCGTTCGTCGTTATCCTTTATTTTGTATGCCTCCGCTCTTCGTGTATGTGTGTGCTTTGGCTTAGAGCTATGTGCAGTCGTTGGCTGCTGCTGCTGCTCTCCACTCTGCGTCCCCTGCACTCCGCTTATGTATGTGTCTGTCGCCGCCCTGTGCTCGTGCGTGTGGCTAAAAAGTTGCATAAATCACCACACCTTAATTTACTTAAATGTCGATTTAAATACACTTAACACACTGCTCTATTGGCATTTGTTAATCTCAAAAGTTATTTTGCGTTGGCGTCGTTTGTGCGCTGCCCAAAAGCAAGCTAAACTTTTTTCACGCGCTCTGCTTTCTGCTGTTGTTGATTTTTCGCTTACTTCTCTTGTCGATTTTTGCAATTGCCTAGAATATGTATATGTGTGTGTTGTGTGTGTTGGTGTTTTCTTTATTTTTTTTGGTTAAGTGTTAAAAGCGTTTGTCAGTTGCTTCTGGAAGCAGCACCGAAGCAAGCAGCGCGAGCCACACAACCGTCGACTTCGAAAATCGCTTTGACTTTGCGAGCAGCGCACAAACGAGCAGGAGCAGCAGCAGCTGGCAGAGGGATCTCTGCTGAGCGTCGCTGTCGACGTTGGCATCGCTGCAACTGTTGGAATGTGTGCCATATTTTTTGGGGTGTCTGCTGCTGCCGCCGCTGCTGCTGCTGCTGCTGCTGCCGCTGCCAGTGCTAGTGATGGTCTTTTGTTGTTTTTTTTTTTTTCTTTTGTTGATGCTGCCGCGCTGCTGCCGCTGCTTCTTCTTCTTCTGCTGCTGTTTCTACTGTTTCTGTTTCTGCTTCGTGTTCGGGCGCATTTTGTTACATTTATTTTACATGTCGCGTGCTTTTGCTGTTGTTCTTGTTGCTCTTGCTGTTAGAACGTCAAATGAAAGTTTTTGCCATTCTGTTTCGTTTTAATGTCTCCCCGATGCATGTGTGTGCCTGTCGGGCGAGTGTGGGTGTGTGTGTGTGTGTGCGAGCATGCACGCTTGTGTGCGTTAATGTAATATTAATGTTATAATTTGCTAGGCGTACGACGCACTCAACCCGCTCGCAGGTTGGCCACATACACATGTACGTGCCAAGCTTTTGCATTGGCAGTGGCTCATTAATAATGCAAAGGGTTGCCAGGTGGTTGCGGGGATGGTTAATGGTGCTGTGGTGCAAGTGGTCACTGGTCAAGAAGATTGAACGTGCGCTTCAAACAGCAAGTCAACTTTTTATGGCCCAAACGACAAAAGTGTTGCAAATTCAAGTAACCACAACAACAGCAATAACAACAGATGATTGTCATGGGACACAAACACACGCTCACACGCACACACCTACACACCCACCTACTCGCAGAAAATGTTAGACTCAGACTGAGGCACGTTTAACATACACAAAGTAAAAGTGAAAAGCAACATCAAAATTAATAAGTAGAAAGGATGCTGAGTGCTCTGCGGCCAACGGGCCAGCAGCGACGCCGACAGCGACGCTGGCAGCGCAACAATACACAACAAACACAAAGTAGCAAAGGCAAAGTGCACGACAGACAGGGAAAAAGTGTATAAAATAGAGAGAGCGAGCGAGCGAGCGAGCGAGAGAGAGAGAGAGAGAGAGAGAGAGCAGGTGCTTGTGCGTCGGCGTGCTTTCAATATTTAACGAAAGTCTCGTCAAGTTGTCAACTTTGCTTACATTGCTGCGGATGCTGCATCAATAATAATATTGCTGCCACTGTCACGCTGCATTCATTTACCCAATAAATACATATGTAATTCAACAACCTTAGACCGGGGCCAAAGGACCCAGGAGAGTGTAAGGCGTACGAGTTGTTTGGTTGATTGGAAGGGAGGTAGGGAAGGTGCTGGGGTAAAGCAGCCTCGCATTCAAACTGCAGGTTACAGTAGCAGCTGGGGAGCGGCCGACAAAAACAAAAAAAAGGAATAAACACGCATGCACACACACACACACAAACACACGAACGGGATGCGCCAGGCTCACTGACGTCAGACCCTCACACGCATACACACACACACAAGCCATGCACACCCCACGCACAACGCCGCTGCCGCCGCTGCTGCTGCTGCCTCTGCCGCTGCCGCTGCCGCTGTTACTGTCGTTATCTCTTTAAGAAACGTCATTAGAAACTGCAGCAGCGGCTTGCAGCAGGCAGCAAAAAGACGCGCCTGGGCAGAACAAAAAACGCGAACAAAAGTCAGTGCTGGACCTTGCTGTAAAATGTCAAAGTTCTTGTTGCCCTTTATGCTGCTGTTGTTGTTGTTGTTACTGCAGTTAGTGTTGTTGCAATAATTGCCAATGTGTGTCGCTTTGTTGTTGCGTAAGGTTTTTTAGGGCAACTGGAGGGTGTGGTTCACCGGGGAGCCAATATAATGTACATTGTATAAACATACACACATTCACGCACACACACACATACACGCGCAAACATATGTGTTAGACGAGATTGACACAGTTTTCTGGGTGTTTGGGCATCTGCGCCGCTGCGCAGAGCTTTGGCCAACGTTTCGCCACGCGAACTTTCGTGTCGCTGCGTTTTTATGAATGAATACACGCGGTCGCAGCAGCAACAACAATAACAACAACAGCAGCGGCAGAGCTTTTGCGCCGTAAGCGCAGAGTCTGCAGCACGTGCCGTGCAGTAATAGTGCTCAAAATCACACCTGATTGATTAATATTGCTTTTTACCTTTGATTATTAACTTTCATTTAATATTTCCAATCCGAGGTAGCAATTTTCAAATTTCCCACACTGCACTGCATGTAATACACTAGAAATAACTAAACTTTGATAATTATGCTCTGCTTGCAGTATTTGAACTACCCGCGCAGAAATGTACTAAAAATTACCATAACCAGTATCGATATATTGTGTGAAATGAGCTACAGCCTGCGCATATCGATATCTGCAGTGATGCGCAGCACTATTTTTGCAACGTTGCTAACACTGCGGCAAGCGAACTGTAAAAACAACAACAACTTGTGGCATGCAGAATCTGAAGCTGACGGCGCCGTTTTTCGAATTTATCAATTTAATTTCAACCATATTAATGCAGAATGTTCGACGCCGAAGCAACGGAAAATGAATTGAGCAACTTAACAAGCGTGCAGTTTGGCCCCGAAACGAAAGGTACGTAAAATACACAATTTTCAATCAGCACTCAACTGCAAAGCGCGCGTTCTGACAGAATACAATTTGCTGCGTGCGGATGAGGAGTACCGCAATGGGAACGAGCAGGACTCGATCTATTATCAGGTACGAGCGCTCTTTCAGTGCGCGGATATGCGGCTGCTGACCGAGGCACAGGAAATGGAAAATCATCAGCCAAGCACAGCGGAAATTTTGTCAGAAGCCAGCGCCAAGGAGAAAGCCGATTACAAAAGGTGAGTGTAACAAGGTCGAAACCATGTAAACTGACAAACCGACTCTCCATACTCTTCTGTGCAGCAACAAGTTCTTCCAGAACATATTGAGATACCAACAGAAATTGGAACAGAGCAAGGCAAAAACCAAAGAACCACCCGTCGATAGTCTGGACTTTCTCGAGGATGTCTCAGAGCCCGCAGCGGGCTTTGCACGCATCACACACATATCCCGCCAGCTGCCCGACGAGTGGTGCGTGCTGCAGCTCTGCAAGAGCTTCAATGCTGCCACCACATACTCCACATTCTGCGAGATCGCCGGCGCCAATGGCGACATCTATGTGTCCCTGCTGCGTCACTGCCGCAGTCCGGAGCTGGCCGCCACTTGCCTGCGCCTCAATAGCGACGCAATGGCCAGCTTATTTAAGGAGTACGGCACGTTAGTGGAGCGTTTCAGGCGTGTGGTCACTGTCGATCCGCTGACGGTGAAGGCGCAGGAGGCCAAGGCCAAATACTGGAAGGAATTGAATGGCTTTGAAGAGTTCTTGAAGGTATAGTTGTGCTCCTGTAGTTACCAAATGCTCATGCTCCTGAATCTTGCAGAAACTGATTGCAGATCTTGGCAGCGTGTTTAGCCCCTATAGCTTTATGTTTCTGGGCAAGCGTTACGCCAGCGCCGCAGTGCAGCAGCAAACCAAAGCTGTTTACGGCCGTGTGGATGAGTTCTGTGTGCAGTACAGCTGGAGCAATCATCAGCGCGTACTCCTTTCGCAGGCGGCATTGCATGCGAATCGCCTGCCACGCGACCAGATGAAACAGCTGAGCTATGAGCTCAGCGGCAACAGCCAGAACAATAACAATAACAATGAGACTGAAGCGCTGCTCGTCTATGAGCTGCTCAAGAGCTGTGCCAGCGACTGGCAGCAGCTGGAACAGCGGGAGCCGCTGGCTGCTAAGCGTTTTCCCATCATTCTGGTTTTGGATGAGGCAAGCTAAGCTCGCAGCATAGTCAGATTTCGAAACGCGTAATGGTTGTTTTTTTTTTAGCGCCTGGATCATATGCATTGGGAGCAGCTGGCGTCCATGCAGGAGTGCACGCGCATCAAGTCGCTGCACAGCTTGTGGCGCCTGTTCAAGTGCCACAAGGAGCAGATACAATGTGGCTACTATACGGTTAACATTAAGCGCGGCATAACGCTCATCAATCCCGATGCGGATCTAGCCAATTCGGGTCGCCGTCTGCGCAGCTTTCTCGAATACTGGCTGACCCACTGGGAGCACATGTACGAGACGGTGCCCAGCGAACAGTTTATGCTTGAGAAGGCATTCAAAGCCGATTGCTTTGTGTAGGTAACCACATTACATCTAACCTGGCAACCAACTGATCCAACATTCTCTTGCAGCTATGCAGGTCACGGCTCGAGTCTGCAGTATGTTTCTACTCGCTTGATTTATCGCAATCGCATCAAGGGCGTTGTCTTTCTGTTCGGCTGCGATTCGACGCGCGTGCTCAGCTCGGGTCTGTACAGCGCCCTATATGGCGCCCAGGACTATTACCATGGCGCCCTGTGTCCCACTGTGATGGGGACACTGATGCCCGCGCTGGACGCCAACATGGACAATGTGTCCGCCAATATGCTCAGCCAGTGGACAAAGCCGGCAAATCCACAGATCGTACCCTGGACGCACATAGATCGCCAGTCCTGGATCTCGCAGGGCACTGTCAAAGGTAGAGTTAGAGAGCATAACATACACAGGTTCACGCTAATTATTAAACCTACCTCTGCAGCACTGAAAGGCAACACCGAGACACTGGCCCAGCAGCCGGACTACCAGATGGGCAGCCTGTGCGCCATTTTAGCTAACGTTCATATGGGCAAAACGGAGCCCAAAATCTACAATTGTTGCGTCTATGTGTGTCGCGGCTTGCCCGCCTGGAATTTAGCCGTGCAGCAGCTGCCCTTTTAGCCCAACTAGTCTTGATTAGGGTAAGGCTTAGCATATAAGTATAATAAAATATTTCTAATACCCCAACAAAAGCTCGACCAAAACTCCAAACAGACTTCTTTATATAAGTATAAACAGAGCCCAGCTTAATGTGTATAATTTGTATCTAAGCTTTGTATTGCATGTTGGAATAACAACTTCCCTCCCCTCTCCTCCTAATCTGCCTTTTATCTAAGATTAGCCCCTTAGCTTCCATTTTTCACCCGCTTGCATGTAAAAAGTGCTTAAAAATCTTGCAAAAGAGATCAAACACAACACATAGAATCGCATAAGAGTTCAAATCTAAACATTTAGATAGTTAAAAATAGTGCGCTTTAACTTACCTTCTTTGGGGTGCAATTTGTGTGAAGACTTATTTGAAGTTTCTTTTGTTTTAGTTGTTTAATTGAAGTTAGGTTAATAATTGTATCGTTTAGCACAGTAATTGTTTATGTTTTTATCTCATTTGTGAGGGGCTCTTTATTTTATTGTGAGGTTTTTAGTTGAACTCAAGCATTGTTATTATTTATTTTTGTACAAACTGTAGTTTAGCTTGTTGGAACATTCACCGTTTAGTTTTGTATTATTTGGTACTGCACTTTGAAGCATGCCACAACAATTTGAATATATAAATCGCCTGTGCAGAATTTAAAACAGATTCAAATGTATTATTGTGAGTGAAAGTGAAATATTTAGACAAAAAATTAGCAATGGAAAAATGGAAAAGTGAGGTGCGTTGACAGTTAGATAGAGACTGCTTAGTAGTAATACACAAAACAATTAGATTTTTAATAAGAACAATTAGTTTTATATAGTTAAAAGGAATTTGAAAAATAACTATTTGATTGGAAAGCCAATCCTATATTCTGCTAAAATCAATTTCTTACTGCATTTTAGCTGCTGTCGACTGATCTATTTATTATCCCAGGCGCCCGACAGCTAAAACCAAGCCCAACCCATTTAAAGGCTAATGTATTACCACGTAGCTCGACTTGGCTAGAAAACGCCCATCTATTTATTTACTTTACGCGCAACATCGTCGCATTTGCTCGTGCTTAACGGGTTAGGGGTTAGGGGTGGCGGGAGGCTTGTTCTCTTTTGGCCAAGGGCTTTTTGATGCGAAAGAGTTTTTGGCCCTCAACCTCAACATGGAATTCACTTGACCTACTAACTGCCTGTCGCATTATGACATACATTTCATTAATTAGGCGCTGGCCGTGCAAAAACACACAGGAAAAAACAACAAAAAATGACCAACTCTGTGGCGACGACCTTCGACCAATGCGGCGTATGCGTAATATTAGCATTTGCTCATCGAATTAGTGTCGCATATTTGCATGCTTAACACACAGACTCGCACACACACACACACACGCACGCAAATCAAAATCCACGCCCTGTGGCCACTAAAAATATTGTATCTGGATGTGAGAATGTGTCCCTATTAGGTATATATATTTAAAGGATGATTCGTCCTTCGTGTTAATGTCTCAATGCCGTGCCCATGAAGCGTTTCACAGTGTAGTAAATCATTTTAGCAGCAGCTAAAACTGAGGTGCATGCCACGCCCCCGCACACAAGAGCTCAAGCCAGGCCAACACACATTCACACACACGCACACAGATACTGTGCCCATTCCTAAGCATTTGCCTGGCTGGACTTGTAACATGACAGGCGACAGCTTCAGAAACAGGATATTACATAACAGGCGCTGCCTTAACAGCAAGCGACATGTAAATGTGTGTGCGTGTGTGTGTGCGCTGTTAACTATATGTGTGTGTGTGTTTGTGTATGTGTGTGCTTTTGTTATTGTTCTTTTGACTTGAATTGCATTTGGTTTTTCTTTGAGCAGTTTCCTTTTTCGGGTCTCGATGCCTCATTCTGTTTGTGTTGATGCCTTGACACGCACACACACGCACACACACACACGCACACATTGACTTACATTTGACTGTTTCATTTGGCATATTTCGTTGTACAAAAACAGAATTGAAGTGTTTTGTTTTTGTAAATTCAAAATCAAATTATTTTATTTTTGCAACCTTGAACTATTTTTTTGCTTTGCCTTTTTGTGTCCTTGTTTAAAATTTATACAAAAAAAAAAGATTATTTTTCTTATTGTCTTACTTTAAATTTTGTTATTTTTGTTATATGTTTGTTTTTTTTTTTTAGGGTTTTATATGCAAAAAATGTGTTACAAATGTTGTTAGAATTTTTGTTTTTGTTGCTGAAACGCTTTGTTAACTTTGGTTAAAATTCTTGTTGTTTAGTTATTGTTTTTCAATTATTTATTTATTTTTTTTATTGTAAATTATTTGATTTTGTGGCTTGAATTGTGTTTGTATTTTATTGCTGTTGTTGGTTGTTAAATCCGCCGCGTTGCACACACACAACAATTCTCTGGCAGAGATAAACTGAGACTGAGCCCGAGCCTGAGACTGAGACTGAGACTAGGCAATGCTCGCTGTCCTCGCGCCAAGGCAGTTGCATCCTTTAGCAGTCTGTCACAGAGCCGAGGCCAGGCCCCAGCCACGCGCCAAAAAGAGAAGCGAACAATGTTGCAAAAATGATGGTGCGGCAACAACAACTACAACAACTACAACAGGAGAGTGGCAACAACAACAGAAGCGCAGCAGCAGCAGCAGCGCAAAAATTTCAATCGCAAACCGCGACAAAAACAGCCGAAGGGATATTTCGCCCTCGCCCAGAGAGACAAACGCTGCGTTGAGAGCAAACTTGAGCGCAACTTTCACCTCTCGCGTGCGTGTCCTCGCACAATGTCCTTATTGTTGTTGCCGCTTCCGCTGCCTCGGCCACTATTTCACTTTCACAGTTGCACGCGGGGTTGAAGCTCGGGAATGTGTTACAATGATTCTGCGTTTTCATGGTGATTACAATGTTGTTGTTGCCGCCAGGCCCAAAGCTCCAAATGTTGTTATTGTGTGCAGCACGTGACTGGCCAGAGCTTTCTTATCAATCAGCTACCCCTTGAAGGGTGGTAGGGAGGGGGTGTGTGTGTGTGTGTGTGCGTGTGTGTAGCACGCTGAGATTTGAAGCTCTCCGGGCAAAGCTTTTTAGCTGTGGCTATAAAATATAAAATCTACAAATAAAGCCAAATCTTGAAATGTTAAATTCTGTTCAGTTGTGAAAATTGAGGAAAATTGAAGAAAATTTCTTAGAAAATGTACTTTTAGCAAATGCAACAATTATTAAAGTTTTTTTTTTTGTTGTTAAATTTAGCTACTTTTAAATGCACAATTTTAGAAATTTATTTTATATTAATTATTGGTAAAAAATAAAAAAGAAAAGCCATATAAGACATTTGCTGGCAGGGTTAATTTTTAGGCCAGAAATCATGCCGAAAATGACAAAAAATTTGTACTCTTGCATTGCTCTTGCTAGTGTTTAAGCATTATTACTTAAGCCTAATCATTAAATGGCCTTTAGTTATTCTTTTAAACAGTAATTTAATCGCTAGCACTTAACTATAGTTTAGGCGCTTGCACCGCCTACCTTGTGGCGCCCCAAAAACTGTTTAATATCTAGTTTCGCATACGAAAATGACTGCACTTATACGCTGCTGTGGGTTGTACGTGAGGTATTTCTTTGATTTGATGCGTTTTGTACGTTGTTTTAGGTGTATTTTACAAGTTTTAAACTTCAAATGTACCCCAGCCGTTGCGCTAGGGAGCTGCAGCTTCTGCCGCAGAGTTAGCCTCGGCTGCCTCGTCGCTGGCAATGCTTTTGCTGCGCCTGCTGGTTCGTGTCTGTGGAAAAATGTGAACTTAGCTAGACTCTCAGTTGCCAGCACACCACACTGTGCATGGTGTATTTGCGTGTAACTCACCACAGCGGCGCTGCGATGCGGGCAATCGGCATGCAGATGGTCCTCGCTGCGGCAGCGATGGCAGCGCTTCGGCTGCGGCCCTATCGCGCACTCCGATGCAATATGATTGGCGAATTCGCCGCAATTGTAGCAGCGCATGCGGCGAGTTTTTCTATTGCTGCAAATTGAGTTGAACTTGGTTTAGACTTTAGTTTCTCGCCTGTGCAAAGGCCACTTACATGCGCGGCCGATAGGTGCTGCCGTGACAATCATCGCCCTGCCGTCCCGAGACACGTGTCGCCTCCAGGCCACGTGCCGTGCGCTGGCACTCGAACTCCACCTCCTCCTGCTCGCCCAGCGAACGAAATCCGGCCATTTGTATGACGCTCTGTGTGTGGCAACATTTGAGTGACATTCAGTGTGTGTGCGTGTGTGTGTGTGTGTGTGTGTGTTTACTCACCTGATGCACGAAAACCTCCTGACCGCCATCGTTGGGCGTTAGAAAGCCCCAGCCCTTGGCCACATTAAACCATTTGCATTTGCCCAGACGCACACAGCCGCATTCCTCACCGGGCGACGCTGTAAACACACATATACACATACACATATAAAAAGGATGGTGAATCAAGCATTTGAGTGGCAACAGGGCCTCGGCTATCCTGAATATCCTGCCTGGGCATTGCTGCAATTGTCTTTTGTTATTCAAATTGAGCCGCCGCCGAAAGCAGCAGCTGAAGAACTTTTATGCTCTGCCGTGTCCTTGTCCCATTTGCCGCAAGGCAATGCTCAAGACAACCAAACCGAAAAATCTGCCACGGCAAAAGCAACAACAACAACAACAATTGGAAAACAGGTTTCGTTGTTTTTAATAAGAATATGTGTATTATATCTTTTGGATTGAATTGAATTGAATGCTTGGGGAGCTGTTGTTCCACATTTTACTTCTTTATCTGTGAAATGCGCGAGTTTCATCTATAAACACTCACACACACACACACACGCATGCGTTTCATTCATTTGGTGCGTTCATTCATAATTTGGTATTTCGATTGCGTTCCATTTTCGGGCGCTTATCTTTTGGTTTGCGTTTGTCTCGTAGTATCTGACAGATACATAGATACTGCCACGCACTGCAATGCATGCACGCTGGCTGATAGCTCTTATCTGAAAACCCTATACACACATATATGTGTGTGTGCTTTTCTTGAGGGTTGTTGTTGCTGTCGGACCTTAAGAGTTTTTTTGTTTGTCTTATTGAAACATTTGCTGTTTCATTAAGAATTTGGTTGTGATTATTTCAATTGAAGAGGAGGTTTTGGGTACGTAAATGGACATTGATTGAGGCCAGTTACCCAAGATATTACTTGAGTAATCAAGATATTAATTAGCTGGTTTTATAAAGGTTATAGAGCTCATTTGGGCAGCTGTTTGAGAAAGTTTTCAGTGAGTAGCTTTATATAGATTTTCTATATTATATATCTTTCCTATATTGCGGACTTATCTTGCTTCCATGGATATAATCTTTGAGATTGCCTAATATAAAATTTCTATGAAAATATATTCACAAAGGAGTGCACAATTTTATGACACATTTCCCATTGTAAAATCTCTCAATTAGTTTAAAAATATATGCAAGATCTTTAGCTGAAACTACCACCATATGCCTGAGTGACTTCTAATGTTCGGGGAAACGCGTCTATTTCCCTATTAATGTCTTATTTTTCTGGGCAGCTCACTGAAGTATGAAAAAGAAGCGCCCAAATTTGCTTACACAATTTGTAAGACCATAAACTTGTTTTGTAAACTAAACTTGTAAATTGAAGAGAAACGCCAAAAAAAAGTTATTAAAAAAATGCAGTCAAGCAAAAGGTCTAAGCCGGGAAAATGTCTGAGAAATGCGCAGAAAATGTTGCCCACAGGCCAGGCAGGGGCGAAGAGGGCGGTTTCTGCACATTTTCCGCTGCATTCAGCGGGGTGTGGGCTGCAGGCAGTAGGCAGTGGGGTGGGGGGAGTGAATGCGTTTCGATTTGCAAGAGTTTGAGGGTTGATCTGCGTTCGCCCCTAAGACGAGCTACATGAGCATACATATATATAAAGCAGAAAAAAATAAAAACAACAACAAAAAAACAGTTTGCCAATAAAAAAGTCGAATGCCAAAAGCAAAACAGAAATGCGGAAAACAAATATAAAGAACTGCGCAGTACATAACAAAACGAAACGAAAATAACAAAAAAACAAACGATCGCTGCGGCCAATCAGCGTCGAGTTTGATAAGATTTCGTTTTTTTATAGAGCAGCAGCCACATAAACAAAAGTGAAACTTGTTTTTGCTTTGGCCTTAATGTTTTGGATACGCACTGTTTCTAACATGGGAGTCTGTGCGGGCAGGGGGGAGTCTGTCACAGAGGGTTGTGGGTGGGGGAGATTTAATACCTGGCGCTGTGCCTGGCGAGGAGCTGCTCCTGGCGCCGCCTTCAGCTGCTGGCTCGCTGCTTAAATTGGGATGTTCCATGCTGTTCTGCTGTAGATTTAAATTTTGTTTGGCTTCAATTCTCGGTATTGCTTATGAGTGTGTGTTGTGTGTCAACTGCTGCATATTTCCGCTGCCCACACTATTCAGCACCAAAATATACACATATGCACACACGCATAAATGCAGTTACAGATACATGCACGCATGTACGAAACGAAACGGAATGGAGGTGAAACGAAACAAAACTCGGAAAACGAACTCGATTGAAAAACGCTGCCGCTGCGCACGACGCACTTCGTCAAACTGAACTGTGAGTTGCGTTTTACTATTTCTAGGAAGGTCACAGTGCCTGAAACACACACACACACACACGCACGCACGCACACACATGCGCGCTCGCACAAGAGACAGCCCGAAATTGTAGCTGTATCTTCAAAAACAATATTCAAACACGGCCACGACGCACAAGATATGTGTGCGTGTGTGCGAGCGCGACATCAATAGCCGAGTGTACGTGTGTGTGTGGAAAAACATTTGAGTCGAGTCGAGTCGTGGTGAGCAGTGAACGTAACAAACGTAAATGTATCTGACAGATACTTTACGTAGCGATCACGCAGAGAGCGAGAGAGCGCGAGAGCCAGAGGCATAGTCAGAGCGGGGCACTTTAATTTGTGCGTGTTTTTTTTTTTCTATTTTGTTATCTGCGGTTTTTAGATAAAAATTTTGGAACTGTACGCAATGCATGGGTGACATGTATCTGAAGATCCGTATGCCATACAGGCTGGCATACTGTTATACCACGAGACTGTTATACAACGCAAGCTGTTGGTCTGCGTTCTGATAGGTTGAGTGCTTAAAAAACAGGCTGACATCTGATTGGTGCCACAAAAAATTGCATAAAAAACTGCACAACAAGCCGCACACGTACACGCACGTCGCATTGTTCCGATTTGCCACCCCAAAATGAATGCTGCAGATTATGCACACAAATTGCTAATGTCGCGTGGCAACGCGTTTTTACCCTCGTGCAGCATCATTGTGCAACATTTTGCGAATGTCTATCCAGGCCATGGATGCAATTTATCATGGCACGTGCCTCGCTCCTGCCGCTATGTGGCATGCCAAATCGTCGGCCAATGCCGCAAAATGCTCGACGACAGCCGAGTGCAGGGCGGGTGCCCGGACCCGCACTGCCGAGGGTGAGAGGCTGCACACATATAGAACACAGTTTTACGAGACAAGGGGCGAAACCAAGAAAAATTTTATATAAGCATGAGTAGCAAATGTGACTGAGCAGAGCTTGAAATGGAGATGCTTACGAAACGCTGTGCACTTTATCTTAAGCAACAATAGCACGTTGTCTAACTTATATCAAGTTAAAGGGGATAACTCGTGTCGTGTGGATTAGCTTAGCATATATTGATACCTTATTCTATCTATCTATTTATTTAAAATGGAATGTTTTAGTACGTACCATAAGTTGAGTTGAATAAAACGAATTTGATAGCAACGATTGCCGCAGTTTGCTCCATTGATACATTCGAAAATATTGTCTCGTTTTTAATAAAACCACTCGAATCTTTCGCTATTTGAGGTGCTAATTCCTCCTGACGGAAGGCCAGTATGGGGGGCCTAAATAAATTGTTTAGAATAAAACAGTACGGCGTTCATAAAATCATAGCGAAAAACAAGTAAGAGGTTCTAGTCGAGAGCTCCCGACTAGGGGATACCCTGAACCCTCTTTTTCCAACATTAAATGTATATATATATTCTATTTTAGAAGCTATATGTCAAGTTTGGTGACTCTAGCTCTTATTATTTACCAAAATTGCCCAAAAAACAGGATATCGATATCGATTTTTATCGATTGTTTGGAAACGGAGTAAGTTATTGATTATCGGAGCATCAATCATTGAAGTCCCTAGCTCTTATAGGTTCTGAGATACTTGCGTTCATACATACGGACGGACGGACGGACAGACAAACGGACATGGCTAGATCGACTCGGCTATTGATGCTGATCAAGAATATATATACTTTATGGGGTCGGAGAAGCTTACATTCTGCCTATTACATACATTTGAATTTTAAACAAATACAATATACCCTTATACCCATTTTTAATGGGCTCAGGGTATAAAAATAAGCTTACTCTGACATGCATTCAATCGTATACATATTAATACTTACATGTACAAGAATACGACGCCCCTCTGTTAATCTCGCCAAGCAGACTGACGCGCCAAGTCAAAGTATCCATCTTCTAGTCAAAACTGCCAGCTCCTCTTTCTTAAAGTAGCCAATTCCTAATTGATGCTGCCATCGCCTCCATGTCAAAGCAGCCTCTTCGAAGCTGGTTCATCCGCTACCACAGTAATCGTATAGAGCGGCATAAGTTTAACATGCCCACCCCGCTGAGTCAAAGTATCAGCTTCAAAGTTGAAGCCGCCTCCGTTTTCTCCTAGTCCAAGCTGCCGCCTCCTCCTAGTCAAAGCCGCCGTTACCTCCTAGTCCAAGCTGCCGCCTCCTCCTAGTCGAAGCTGCCGCCTCCTCCTAGTCGAAGCCGCCGATTCCTTCTAGTCCAAGCTGCCGCCTCCTCCTAGTCAAAGCCGCCGATTCCTCCTAGTCCAAGCTGCCGCCTCCTCCTAGTCAAAGCCGCCGATTCCTCCTAGGCCAAGCTGCCGCCTCCTCCTTGTCAAAGCCGCCGATCCCTGATAGTCCAAGCTGCCGCCTCCTCCGTCTTGTTAAATTCAGTCTTAAGCATGAGGGGCCTAGTTGAATTCATGAGAATCGAGTAGTAAGGCATTTGACAAAAATAAAATTTTTTTGAATTTGCACCGCAGTAACATTTAATTTTGGCCATGAATATATACATACATGCATACCTCCATATGTACAGACATGCATACACACACTCATGCAGACATTACAAGCACACACACATACATACGTGCACACATATGAGCATGTACGTTCATGCATACAACCATACGCACATGTACATACTTACATACAAACAAACATAGATACATACATTTACATTCATATACACACATTCATACATACATATTCATACACATAAAAACATACTGTCATACATAAATTTACACAAACATAGATGTATGCATATACACAAACATATGCACATATATGACCGAGTTATGAGAAGGGGAAATTTCGACCCATGACTATATCCAATTTCGGAGATTAACATTTTGGCATGAAAATCGACAAAAAAACATGTTGTCAGATTTAAATGCCAAATTAAAGTAGAGGCAAAACATTGAATAAAAAACCAAATCTCGTTAAAATCAGTTGAGTTTTGACCGAGTTATGAGTAGGGTAAATTTCGACTTATTACTATATCCGAATTTTTGGCTATATTCGATTTTAGGGTGCCACATTTTGACATGAAAATCGACAAAAAAACATGTTGTCAGATTTAAATGCCAAATTAAAGTAGAGGCAAAACCATGAATAAAAAACCAAATCTCGTTAAAATCAGTTGAGTTTTGACCGAGTTACGAGAAGGGGAAATTTAGACTATCCGAATTTTTGGCTATATTCGATTTTAGGGTGCCACATTTTGACATGAATTTCGACAAAAAAACATGTTGTCAGATTTAAATGCCAAATTAAAGTAGAGGCAAAACCATGAATAAAAAACCAAATCTCGTTAAAATCAGTTGAGTTTTGACCGAGTTATGAGAAGGGAAAATTTCAACCCGTGACTATATCCAATTTCGGAGATTAACATTTTGGCATGAAAATCGACAAAAAAACATGTTGTCAGATGTAAATGCCAAATTAAAGTAGAGGCAAAACCATGAATAAAAAACCAAATCTCGTTAAAATCAGTTGAGTTTTGACCGAGTTATGAGAATGGGAAATTTAGACTCATTACTATATCCGAATTTTTGGCTATATTCGATTTGATGCTGCCACATTTTGACATGAAAATCGACGAAAAAACATGTTGTCAGATTTAAATGCCAAATTAAAGTAGAGGCAAAACCATGAATAAAAAACCAAATCTCGTTAAAATCAGTTGAGTTTTGACCGAGTTATGAGAAGGGGAAATTTAGACTCATTACTATATCCGAATTTTTGGCTATATTCGATTTTAGGCTGCCACATTTTGACATGAAAATCGACAAAAAAACATGTTGTCAGATTTAAATGCCAAATTAAAGTAGAGGCAAAACCATGAATAAAAAACCAAATCTCGTTAAAATCAGTTGAGTTTTGACCGAGTTATGAGAAGGGGAAATTTAGACTCATTACTATATCCGAATTTTTGGCTATATTCGATTTGATGCTGCCACATTTTGACATGAAAATCGACGAAAAAACATGTTGTCAGATTTAAATGCCAAATTAAAGTAGAGGCAAAACCATGAATAAAAAACCAAATCTCGTTAAAATCAGTTGAGTTTTGACCGAGTTATGAGAAGGGGAAATTTAGACTCATTACTATATCCGAATTTTTGGCTATATTCGATTTTAGGCTGCCACATTTTGACATGAAAATCGACTTGCGTTCATACATACGGACGGACGGACGGACAGACAAACGGACATGGCTAGATCGACTCGGCTATTGATGCTGATCAAGAATATATATACTTTATGGGGTCGGAGAAGCTTACATTCTGCCTATTACATACATTTGAATTTTAAACAAATACAATATACCCTTATACCCATTTTTAATGGGCTCAGGGTATAAAAATAAGCTTACTCTGACATGCATTCAATCGTATACATATTAATACTTACATGTACAAGAATACGACGCCCCTCTGTTAATCTCGCCAAGCAGACTGACGCGCCAAGTCAAAGTATCCATCTTCTAGTCAAAACTGCCAGCTCCTCTTTCTTAAAGTAGCCAATTCCTAATTGATGCTGCCATCGCCTCCATGTCAAAGCAGCCTCTTCGAAGCTGGTTCATCCGCTACCACAGTAATCGTATAGAGCGGCATAAGTTTAACATGCCCACCCCGCTGAGTCAAAGTATCAGCTTCAAAGTTGAAGCCGCCTCCGTTTTCTCCTAGTCCAAGCTGCCGCCTCCTCCTAGTCAAAGCCGCCGTTACCTCCTAGTCCAAGCTGCCGCCTCCTCCTAGTCGAAGCTGCCGCCTCCTCCTAGTCGAAGCCGCCGATTCCTTCTAGTCCAAGCTGCCGCCTCCTCCTAGTCAAAGCCGCCGATTCCTCCTAGTCCAAGCTGCCGCCTCCTCCTAGTCAAAGCCGCCGATTCCTCCTAGGCCAAGCTGCCGCCTCCTCCTTGTCAAAGCCGCCGATCCCTGATAGTCCAAGCTGCCGCCTCCTCCGTCTTGTTAAATTCAGTCTTAAGCATGAGGGGCCTAGTTGAATTCATGAGAATCGAGTAGTAAGGCATTTGACAAAAATAAAATTTTTTTGAATTTGCACCGCAGTAACATTTAATTTTGGCCATGAATATATACATACATGCATACCTCCATATGTACAGACATGCATACACACACTCATGCAGACATTACAAGCACACACACATACATACGTGCACACATATGAGCATGTACGTTCATGCATACAACCATACGCACATGTACATACTTACATACAAACAAACATAGATACATACATTTACATTCATATACACACATTCATACATACATATTCATACACATAAAAACATACTGTCATACATAAATTTACACAAACATAGATGTATGCATATACACAAACATATGCACATATATGACCGAGTTATGAGAAGGGGAAATTTCGACCCATGACTATATCCAATTTCGGAGATTAACATTTTGGCATGAAAATCGACAAAAAAACATGTTGTCAGATTTAAATGCCAAATTAAAGTAGAGGCAAAACATTGAATAAAAAACCAAATCTCGTTAAAATCAGTTGAGTTTTGACCGAGTTATGAGTAGGGTAAATTTCGACTTATTACTATATCCGAATTTTTGGCTATATTCGATTTTAGGGTGCCACATTTTGACATGAAAATCGACAAAAAAACATGTTGTCAGATTTAAATGCCAAATTAAAGTAGAGGCAAAACCATGAATAAAAAACCAAATCTCGTTAAAATCAGTTGAGTTTTGACCGAGTTACGAGAAGGGGAAATTTAGACTATCCGAATTTTTGGCTATATTCGATTTTAGGGTGCCACATTTTGACATGAATTTCGACAAAAAAACATGTTGTCAGATTTAAATGCCAAATTAAAGTAGAGGCAAAACCATGAATAAAAAACCAAATCTCGTTAAAATCAGTTGAGTTTTGACCGAGTTATGAGAAGGGAAAATTTCAACCCGTGACTATATCCAATTTCGGAGATTAACATTTTGGCATGAAAATCGACAAAAAAACATGTTGTCAGATGTAAATGCCAAATTAAAGTAGAGGCAAAACCATGAATAAAAAACCAAATCTCGTTAAAATCAGTTGAGTTTTGACCGAGTTATGAGAAGGGGAAATTTCGAGTCATTGCTATATCCGATTTTTCGGCTATATTCGATTTTAGGGTGCCACATTTTGACATGAATTTCGACTAAAAAACATGTTGTCAGATTTAAATGCCAAATTAAACTAGTGGCAAAACCATGAATAAAAATCCAAATCTCGTTAAAATCAGTTGAGTTTTGACCGAGTTATGAGAATGGGAAATTTCGAGTCATTACTATATCCGAATTTTTGGCTATATTCGATTTGAGGCTGCCACATTTTGACATGAAAATCGACGAAAAAACATGTTGTCAGATTTAAATGCCAAATTAAAGTAGAGGCAAAACCATGAATAAAAAACCAAATCTCGTTAAAATCAGTTGAGTTTTGACCGAGTTATGAGAAGGGGAAATTTAGACTCATTACTATATCCGAATTTTTGGCTATATTCGATTTGATGCTGCCACATTTTGACATGAAAATCGACGAAAAAACATGTTGTCAGATTTAAATGCCAAATTAAAGTAGAGGCAAAACCATGAATAAAAAACCAAATCTCGTTAAAATCAGTTGAGTTTTGACCGAGTTATGAGAAGGGGAAATTTAGACTCATTACTATATCCGAATTTTTGGCTATATTCGATTTTAGGCTGCCACATTTTGACATGAAAATCGACAAAAAAACATGTTGTCAGATTTAAATGCCAAATTAAAGTAGAGGCAAAACCATGAATAAAAAACCAAATCTCGTTAAAATCAGTTGAGTTTTGACCGAGTTATGAGATGGGAAAATTTCAACCCGTGACTATATCCAATTTCGGAGATTAACATTTTGGCATGAAAATCGACAAAAAAACATGTTGTCAGATGTAAATGCCAAATTAAAGTAGAGGCAAAACCATGAATAAAAAACCAAATCTCGTTAAAATCAGTTGAGTTTTGACCGAGTTATGAGAATGGGAAATTTCGACTCATTACTATATCCGAATTTTTGGCTATATTCGATTTGAGGCTGCCACATTTTGACATGAACATCGACGAAAAAACATGTTGTCAGATTTAAATGCCAAATTAAAGTAGAGGCAAAACCATGAATAAAAAACCAAATCTCGTTAAAATCAGTTGAGTTTTGACCGAGTTATGAGAAGGGGAAATTTAGACTGATTACTATATCCGAATTTTTGGCTATATTCGATTTTAGGCTGCCACATTTTGACATGAAAATCGACATTAAAACCTGTTGTCAGATTTAAATGCCAAATTAAAGTAGAGGCAAAACCATGAATAAAAATCCAAATCTCGTTAAAATCAGTTGAGTTTTGACCGAGTTATGAGAAGGGGAAATTTAGACTCATTACTATATCCGAATTTTTGGCTATATTCGATTTTAGGGTGCCACATTTTGGCATGAAAATCGACAAAAAAAACATGTTGTCAGATTTAAATGCCAAATTAAAGTAGAGGCAAAACCATGAATAAAAAACCAAATCTCGTTAAAATCAGTTGAGTTTTGACCGAGTTATGAGAAGGGGAAATTTAGACTGATTACTATATCCGAATTTTTGGCTATATTCGATTTTAGGCTGCCACATTTTGACATGAAAATCGACATTAAAACCTGTTGTCAGATTTAAATGCCAAATTAAAGTAGAGGCAAAACCATGAATAAAAATCCAAATCTCGTTAAAATCAGTTGAGTTTTGACCGAGTTATGAGAAGGGGAAATTTAGACTCATTACTATATCCGAATTTTTGGCTATATTCGATTTTAGGGTGCCACATTTTGGCATGAAAATCGACAAAAAAAACATGTTGTCAGATTTAAATGCCAAATTAAAGTAGAGGCAAAACCATGAATAAAAAACCAAATCTCGTTAAAATCAGTTGAGTTTTGACCGAGTTTTGAGAAGGGGCAATTTCGAGTCATTGCTATACCCGATTTTTTGGCTATATTCGATTTTAGGGTGCCACATTTTGACATGAATTTCGACTAAAAAACATGTTGTCAGATTTAAATGCCAAATTAAAGTAGGGGCAAAACCATGAATAAAAAACCAAATCTCGTTAAAATCAGTTGAGTTTTGACCGAGTTATGAGAAGGGGAAATTTAGACTCATTACTATATCCGAATTTTTGGCTATATTCGATTTTAAGGTGCCACATTTTGACATGAAAACCGACAAAAAAACATGTTGTCAGATTTAAATGCCAAATTAAAGTAGAGGCAAAACCATGAATAAAAAACCAAATCTCGTTAAAATCAGTTGAGTTTTGACCGAGTTATGAGAATGGGAAATTTCGAGTCATTGCTATATCCGATTTGACATGAAAATCGACAAAAAAACATGTTGTCAGATTTAAATGCCAAGTTAAAGTAGAGGCAAAACCATGAATAAAAAACCAAATCTCGTTAAAATCAGTTGAGTTTTGACCGAGTTATGAGAATGGGAAATTTCGACTCATTACTATATCCGAATTTTTGGCTATATTCGATTTGAGGCTGCCACATTTTGACATGAAAATCGACGAAAAAACATGTTGTCAGATTTAAATGCCAAATTAAAGTAGAGGCAAAACCATGAATAAAAAACCAAATCTCGTTAAAATCAGTTGAGTTTTGACCGAGTTATGAGAAGGGGAAATTTAGACTCATTACTATATCCGAATTTTTGGCTATATTCGATTTTAGGCTGCCACATTTTGACATGAAAATCGACAAAAAAACATGTTGTCAGATTTAAATGCCAAATTAAAGTAGAGGCAAAACCATGAATAAAAAACCAAATCTCGTTAAAATCAGTTGAGTTTTGACCGAGTTATGAGAAGGGGAAATTTAGACTCATTACTATATCCGAATTTTTGGCTATATTCGATTTCAGGCTGCCACATTTTGACATGAAAATCGACAAAAAAACATGTTGTCAGATTTAAATGCCAAATTAAAGTAGAGGCAAAACCATGAATAAAAAACCAAATCTCGTTAAAATCAGTTGAGTTTTGACCGAGTTATGAGAAGGGGAAATTTAGACTCATTACTATATCCGAATTTTTGGCTATATTCGATTTTAGGCTGCCACATTTTGACATGAAAATCGACAAAAAACATGTTGTCAGATTTAAATGCCAAATTAAAGTAGAGGCAAAACCATGAATAAAAAACCAAATCTTGTTAAAATCAGTTGAGTTTTGACCGAGTTATGAGAAGGGGAAATTTAGACTCATTACTATATCCGAATTTTTGGCTATATTCGATTTTAGGCTGCCACATTTTGACATGAAAATCGACAAAAAAACATGTTGTCAGATTTAAATGCCAAATTAAAGTAGAGGCAAAACCATGAATAAAAAACCAAATCTCGTTAAAATCAGTTGAGTTTTGACCGAGTTATGAGAAGGGGAAATTTAGACTGATTACTATATCCGAATTTTTGGCTATATTCGATTTTAGGCTGCCACATTTTGACATGAATTTCGACTAAAAAACATGTTGTCAGATTTAAATGCCAAATTAAAGTAGAGGCAAAACCATGAATAAAAAACCAAATCTCGTTAAAATCAGTTGAGTTTTGACCGAGTTATGAGAAGGGGAAATTTAGACTGATTACTATATCCGAATTTTTGGCTATATTCGATTTTAAGGTGCCACATTTTGACATGAAAATCGACAAAAAAACATGTTGTCAGATTTAAATGCCAAATTAAAGTAGAGGCAAAACCATGAATAAAAAACCAAATCTCGTTAAAATCAGTTGAGTTTTGACCGAGTTATGAGAATGGGAAATTTCGAGTCATTGCTATATCCGATTTTTTGGCTATATTCGATTTTAGGCTGCCACATTTTGACATGAAAATCGACTAAAAAACATGTTGTCAGATTTAAATGCCAAATTAAAGTAGAGGCAAAACCATGAATAAAAAACCAAATCTCGTTAAAATCAGTTGAGTTTTGACCGAG